GAGAGAGAGAGAGAGAGAGAGAGAGAGAGAGAGAGAGAGAGAGAGTCCATCAACTTCTTGGCAAACATTCCTTTTTTTATTGCGGGCGTAGCCGCAACAGGTCCCCTAGTTCCTTGTTACCATCCCTTGACAACGTGTCGAAATTTATGCAGTGCCAATCACCGAGCATATGACGTAGAGGATTTTGTGAGGAACAAGCCCTCAAGGGGCCCTATCAGACATCACATGTTCTGGGCTAAGGCCCCCAGCAAGCCGAGTGCCCGCCCTAAGTGAAGGTGGGCCTGAATATTCGTCAGAGGCCAAAATTCGACATTCCCATATGGGGGTATTCAGGCTCTCGCAGCACGCCAGTTGGTTGGGTAGATGCGTCGGCCTCACTAAACTGCGTCATACAGTGGCCCAGGCCTTGACAGTTGCGCGTGGGCACATACACACAAAGCAGGGCTGATACATTGGGAAGCAGGCCGCCGGCCTTTAGAAAAGCAGTACTGCCTACGCACCTGCCTGGGAGCCCCGCACAGATGCAGCAAACAGCCCAAGTCCGGAGACTAAGGCCGTGCCCAACTGAAAAGGGCCCAGGCCCTCAACTGTAGTCTCGGGCCTGGGCGCAGGGTCTGAGGCCCAACCGGAAGCTACTGGAAGCTTCCAGCCAGGCCGCACGCAGCATCCAGGAGACTGCCACTTCCATAAAAGAAGTGAGGCAGCCCAGGCCAGGCATTCTGGCCAGTGCAGGCAATGCGGAAGTGCTGGTGCGCTCTCGCTTGATGCTGCGCTGCTGCCAAAGGCGCTGACGGGGCGCGTAGTGGTGAGGAGGGGCGCTGCAGAGCAACGGGGCGCAGGCAGCCATAGCCGGGCTGCTGGGCGCCAAGGGGTACAGCGGGCGATCTGGTGGTCTTCAGGGAAGGAGGCGCAGTGTGGGGTAATCAAGGTCTGATTGAGGGTGACGAGATACGTACCTGGTACATGAAGAGAGGTCGGCTATGGTGTTGACAGTCATGTACATTGGTCTTCGAGAGTTCGAAGTGAGCCTGTTGCGTGAACCAGCTGTAGGTAGGATAGTCGGGTAGAGTAGGCTGGGCGCTGGGTGCCAGACAGAGAGGAGTGACTTTGGATACTGTGTTGGTGTGACCTACGGACTTGAACATTGGCTCATTACTTCATTGTAATGCTCTATATGGATGGTTTCTCGGTGCATTTTGTACTCTCTGCTTGGACATGACTACCTGGACATCTGTGTGATTTTGCAACTTGGTTTTCTGTATATCGTTTACGCTCATATTCCTTGCAATTTGGTATCAGAGCTGGTTCGTGATCGCCGCTTACCTGGCACCGGCGACATTGTTACTTGGTGCGCTGACGATGCTTCATGTGCAGTATGGATACTTTGGCGCTGGTTTGAATTAGAGGGGCCTAGGTGGAGAGGCCGGCCGCTGGAAGGCTGTGGCGACAGCAAGGGAGTTGTGGCGACAGCAGATGTATGTATGATGATGAGAGTATGCTGACGTGGCATTTTGGCTGAGGTGGCACTGCATTGCGTTGTGGGTGGTACCCAGGCTATTGACCGGTCATCGAATTGGTCTATATGGATGGTTTCTCGGTGCATTTTGTACTCTCTGCACACACACACACACACGCACGCACACACACACACATGGGCGTAGCATCAATGATGGTCTAAAGCAGTGGAGGCAATGACTGACGTCACAGCTTCCTGTGCAGAGTCGCAAACAACACACCACAGCACAATGGGGATCTGTGGCAGAACTGGAAGTGCTGGTCTGACCATCTGCAGCCACGCCTAAAATTGTGGTGTGGTTAAGAGTGTGTGTGACCACCCAGGTCACTCCCAGTTTTCCAAACTTCTTTCTGAGTTTCTCAGATCCAGATTCAGCAGGGCTGCCGGCAGCTCTTCCAGACACCCAACGACTGATCATCCAAACGGCTGCCGTGCTGTCCAGATTCTAATCACAAAACTGACTACTAGGTGCATGCAGTCCTTTGGCTTTCTGGAATAAATGAACTGTGGTCGCCAGACTGGCTACTTGGTGCAGTCTTTTTTAACAGTTTTTTTTTTGGCTTTTTAATGTGAATATGTTCTTGGCAAGTTCCTGGAATATAGTAATATACTTGTTTTAACTTTTAAGTTATTTTATTACAAATTACAACTGAATAAAGTCCAACTAACTTCTTCAGAATGGGAAGATCATGGCATCATTGGCCTTTATTTTTCGCATGCTCACTCCACGATCTGTTAACAAACTGTGCAGGCGCACGGAAATTGGTGTATGAACGTGCAGAGGAGGCCCGTTTGGCTGCCTTTTCTGCCTTTGCAGCTCTGGGTATAAATGTGCCCCAATTAGAGACGTCCATCCCAGAACGTAAAGTTCTCGATAACTGGGATGAAAAATCGGAGCTGAAGAAGGCATCCTCGCCCACCGAGGGCATACCGAAAGCCCAAATCCCATCTGCACAAGGAGACAATCCACCAGCATATGGACATGTGGTGGAAGCAGTGGAAATATTACCCCATCAAGGTGGAGGGGAAAACAGAGTGCATACTCCTGATCAGAATGCTGTGGCTGGTTGCACTTCCTCGTTGCTGCCGAAGAAGACAGTTGTCAGTGGCTGTATGAGTTATCAAGCTACAGTTAGGGAAGAGGCTGGCACTAGCAAGCAGCCGACTGGAGCTCTGGAGGAGATTGGGAGAGAGAAAGGGCAAACGCGTGCTCAACTGAATGGCAAGACACAGGGCAAGGAGGAGGCCGTGGACAAGCTACCAGTTGATGGAGCAATGGGGTTGCACCCGCTCGACAATAGCTCAAACCATAGCAGAGAGGGGTCATCGGTTCCAGGGGTTGGGTCCAAGCTTTTTGATGGAAATGAGGTTATGCGGCTGGGAGAAGCTGTGGAATGTGAGAGGGAGAAGCAACGGCAAGAAGAACTGGAGAAAGCGAAGGAACAATCCCTGTTGGACAAAGGCCCTATCGATGTCGATAAACTAGGTCCTCTTGGGTTTGAGCAGATTTATGGGCAGTGGATGCTCGTCGATGAATTTGCATTTGACCTGCACATCAATAAGACTTCTTCCAGCTCTGGAAAAGGTGTGTGCTCATCTTCTTGTGCTTGTCACCAATGGCTTGATGGGATATCATCTATGAATGTGCTGACATGATAGTCCCTCCTGCCATTTTCCCTCCCAGTCCATCCCTCTCCATAGACAGGGACTTATACACACCCACAGATGAGTAACAAGGAAAATCCTCATTCCCAAAAGACTGGTGCTTTTACACACCCACAGATTAATAACAGCTTAATAACAAGCTCTTTTTTTTTTTTTTAATTTAGACCATTTCTCGATTCGTGTGTGTCATCCTTGTGCAGTGGCCATGCTAATCTTCTTTGTATCATTCCAATGTTGACAGATGTCTCGAAGGACATTAGCACGTTATTTTCACTTGTATTTTCATGATCACTTCTCGGCCATTGCTGTCATGGTTATCAATGATTGAACTGTCATTACCAAGCTCTCATCATGGTCAAGTTGGCTGATTGTTTTTCTTCCATCTCTCGAAAGTACTTGGGCTTGAGGGTTTTCTTTTTCACTTTGTTCATGTATGCATGGACTAACACCGTGGTAATTCAGTTGCCACACTAAACTAGTAATGGCCAATTGCATTGCTAGGTTTTTGGCCGGCTATCATTCCATATGTTTGGGGCAAATGATCGTTTAGTTGTCCCGGTCATCATGTCATGATGGCTTGTTACTATTGTCCTCCTCCTCCTCCTCCTCCTCCTCATGTCATATTAGGCTGTATCATCATTGACATGGGTCAGTATCGTAGTGTGTAAGGTTATTCTTTGCTTTATTAACATGGTAATAATAAGAAATCGACAACAACAATTTTTTTTTATTTTTATTTTTTATTTTTTATTTTTTTTGAAACAGGTCCTTATGGCCCTGGCTCCATTTCCATTCTGGGGAGCGTCAGTACAGTAAAATAATATTAATAATGCGACGTGCGATGGGATCTAATTTTCTGCATGACACTGGATTTCTTGCATGTGCTTGAAGGTTGCCCGCTCGATGTGGAAGGAATTGCAATCGCCTGGAAAGACTCACCAGTATATTACATTCGACTTACTAAACCAGCAAGTGGGAGAAATTCACGACGGAATTCAGGGGCTTTTAGGAGTGCTCATGGCATGATATCTGGCGACTCGGAAATGCCAAAGTCACCGGCAACTGCAGGAAGGACAAATGGGAGCCCAGGTCCACAAAGAACCCCTGAAGCTGGGTATATGAAGACGGATGGAACGGTGTCTGGAGGGAGTAAGCGAAGGTCCTCGGTCTTGAAGAGACAGAAGACAATCCTGAAAGGAATTGATGAGCGATGGAATTTGATTAAGAGAGTTTTTGAGAATGGCGACGTATGTAAGGTTGGGTACAATGTGAAGAATCAGCTGAAGGTGTTTGCCTCTGCATCCGTGGACCTACTCGCTGGAATGAATAAGCGAGGAGATGGAGTCCTGTCGGAGTTGAATTCGCCTCTTCAACAACGCAGTTGGCAAGGAGCGTTCAGCAATGCCACAAGATATACGCTACCGTCCATCTCCCCAGAGGATCCCATGGTGGATGTCTCTGTTCTGGCGTGGGTCTTGTCGCCGGATGAGGAGAGTGCTGAATTCTCTGATTTGGAAAAGGCATGCCTACTGTCTCCTACTCCCCTATCACATACTCTGGTTTCATGAGCTCCTTGGTCGGTATCTGTTCCTTTGTCTGTGGCCACTTGTGTCCTTTCTCTCCAATTAGTACTTAGTAATTCGGACTAATGCCCCTTTCCTTCATGTTGGAATTCCTGGACAGAGCGACGCCTTGGCTCTTGGCCTGTGAGATGTTAAAAGGGAGTAGATGAATGCCATGTGATGTATCTCTTGTTCCTTTGAACACTCACTTGAACGAAGGGCATGGGTGGGTGAGTGAATGAGATTGGCAGTACACAGGGTATTATCCACACGAGCATAGTTGCCGCTATTTTCGTCAGCATCTGATGCCTAATGTAGAACATGCAGAGCACAAAGGAAAAAAGGGAACAGGACATCCGTTAAAATTGGAGTAATACAGGGAACATTAGCATGACGACCCCTGCGCAAAAAAGCCAAACAAATCAAACAAACAGAGGCTAAGAAGAAATACGGATGCAAAAATCTGTGTCTTTCAGTTGCTCAAACTTGCTGTCAGCATGCTCATAAAACACTCGTAATTACTATGGTTTCATTCAAGTGCTATGATCCTTGGTCAACTTCCGGTGCGGAAGCTTACAAAGAGACAATGCCATTCCGTCGCAACTCGAATGAAAGAGAATGTGAGAAGAAATAAGACAAGGGAGGAAGAGAAATGAAGAAAAGAAGAATAAATACTCTCGGATGTAGCTCCAGCACACTCGGTACCCACACAGGGGCTTTCTAGGTGCAGCGCCAACCAATGAAGTGGAGATGATGGTCCGAAATAGCCAAAGGTGAGTCTCCTACCTCGTTCCCTTCTCCTCCTTCCTCCTCCTTCCTCCTCCTACCTCCTTTGCATCTCCACAGCCAAGCTTGAGGTCCATCACCCTCACCTCCATAGCCAACGCCTATCTCTGCCACCTCCAGCTACTCCTTCAAGACCATGGAGGTCTTCACCTTCACCCTCAAGCTCCACCTTCTTGCCCAGCTGCTCCACCTTCCTCACTCCCTGGGCAGAGCATCATAATGCTCGCTTGAAGAATGAACAAGATTGTCCTTCCCTCTACTCTACACCCGCTCATATACTTTGGCTGCCCAGCGTACAGCACCTCCTGGCCGGGCAGTACCCAGCACTGCCCGGCCTCCCTTGGGTGCACCAGGCCTACCAGTCTGTTACAGCTTTTGTTGGGAACATCATTTCAGCCTGCAGCTCGGACTCAGCGCCTGTATCGAGCCTAGCTAGTGCCCTACCAGGTACAGGCCTCACCACTTATGACTCTTTTTGGCCGCTACTAGCCTACACACTAAACCTACCAGGTTCTGGGCCCTACCTGAGTTGCTGGAAATTCTTACCAGGTCCCTGGTCAATTCTACACTTGCCCCTAAGGGCTAGACTGCCCCCCAACACATCCTACAGCCAATTGCAGTCGTGCCCCTGGCCGTCACTCTATTCCTACCTTTTCCCTGTGCTCGGCACAGCCACACACTGCCGCATGCCTAATGGCATACATCAGAACCAAGAACCGACCTCTCAGAGATAGAGCAAAATAGAGCAGTGGAAGACTGAAATACCAAGATCTGACTCAGCATGGACAATGACAGGACCTGACAACCATCATCGTCACACGGGTTTGAATGGACTCAGCGCTGCAAACACAGGAGATGCACAGAGTCCGAATACCATACACGGACGAAGTGGGGGAGAAGAGACGAAGGGAGGAGGAGATAGGGAGGATAAGCCACCGTAGCCCGATGAACCCAGTCTCCAGTGTGTCCCCAATGTCGCTGCTCGTACAATGTCAAGTCGAAATGTCACTGAACCGGGCATAGCCCGAAAGTCACCAAGTCTCAATGTCAACTCTCTCTCTCTCTCTCTCTCTCTCTCTCTCTCTCTCTCTCTCTCTCTCTCTCTCTCTCTCTCTC